TATGATATATATATATATGGTACCCAATTGTATTCTTAACTGGACAATTCTTGTATAGATACACCATCAATCTCGCTATTGTTGGCGCGTAACTTAGTACGAGATATTACCATGTCTTTTGTATATTGTAAAATTATGAAATGTTAAATAAAAAAAGATTTTCTGTGTAAAGCATGTTATTTATCAAACCTTTAGTTTTTTCCAACTATTGTATCCTAAGCTTTGTTTTTAATAAAAACAACACATTTTTTAATGGAAATAAATTCTATCATTCATTTTTACGATGAAAGAGTTAAAATGCGCTCAATTGCATATATAACAATTATATATGATGAAGAATCCTAAAAGGGAGAGATACATATTTAAGTAAAATATTTTAAAATTGGTGAGTACAATACTCAAAATCGAACAATTAATACATGTAATCTAGTTAAGCAGTAATAATCTGGAATAAAAAAAAATCATGGCTAATATATTTTCACAATGAAATATTTATATTTTAACTTACAAATATATCTTTGGAAAAAGATTGAAAATCTTTAAAATAATCTAACAGAATATAAGAAACAGAATTATCCAGATTTTTTCGAATCCATAATAGCTGTCCATTAAAATAGACCTTAATTTTACAGAAAATGCCATCTAGTCAGCTTATATTTCTCCTTTTTCTACTTATTGGTGATCTTTCGATTCAGTGATTATTTTGGATTACCGAATCCATCAACTCACACAAATCTCGTTGTAATGATTCTCACATTAAAGTTACCTGGATTAGCATTCGAAATCAATTCGGCGGCTACAGCACCAAGCAATGATATTCAAGGAGCAAATTCAGATGCATTCAAAAAAATCGCCTTTATGGATGTGATACATTACAGTTTTAGTTATATGGGTGTTTTAACAGGTAAGATCTGATAAGTAAGTTTAGATGAACTATACTTGTTTGGAAATGTTTTAAATAACAAGATAAATTACGTTTTAAATTTTTATAGGTCCATACTACCGTTACAGGACATATTGGGATTCTCTACATAGACCATTCTCTAATTACGTTGATCCGTGGCCGCACACTTATTACAAACTAAAACAGATTGTAGCGTTTATCGCGCTCTTTCTAATAATGAGTCATCTGTTTCCCAGCGATGTAATATTCATTACGTTCATTATATTCACATTACAATATAAAGAGAGTCGAAATATATATAATTTTAGAATAGTTGGAAACTGGATGATCTAAGTTTTATTATATAAAAAATAAAATATATTTATTTACATTCTTTTTTTCTAAAATATAAAAATTATTTGATTTGATTGGAAAATATGAAGAAAGAAGAGATAGGCAAGATGATAGCAGATCTTTTGACTCGAAAATAATTTTAGAGGTTTACGATGTCAAAAGAGCTAAATCCACTAATATATTTCATATAAAAAAATTTAAAAATCTCTCTCTCTCTCTCTCTCTCTCTTCTAATATTTCTTTTAATAACATTGAAAAAATGTTTATTTCTAATAGACATTTTTATCTATAGTAGATCTCAGCTGCAACAAAAATTACTTAATATAATTTTGTTCAGTCAAAATCGAAAACTTTTATTTGAGTCATATATTTGCATTTTATGTTTGCAAAATGGGGTCTAGAAACTCATCAAAAATGGGCATTCTTCTTAATTTCTCAATTGCGAATAATAATAATATGATACATTAATAGATATAATAAGTTTAATAATATGTATTTCTCTTTCAATTTCAGTATACGCAAACAATAGAATTTGAAGAACTCAGTTTTCTCTTTAGATTTCTTTATATGTATCCCACTTTCGCCTGTTTTCGATTGAGAATGTATATTGGTATGTCTCTGGCTGAATGCGTCTGTCAAATGTCAGGACTAGGAGCTTACCCGGTTTGCTGTCAATCTGCACCTGGTCGGGGTCCGCGCGATTACAAAACAGTTGAAAAGCTGTAAGATAACTTTCTTTTTATATACATATATATTTCTTTCTCTCTTCTTCCCTCTCGCGTCTTTATCACTCTTTTCTTTTCCCTGTCTCCCTCACTCCCTTTTCATTTTCGTATTATCTCATTTTCAATATATTCAGATAGTTGTTTTTTCATTGACTAATTAATCATCGACTTTATTACATTTATATGCAGATATTCCTAATTATTAAAGTTAATCGAATCTTCTAAAAATAAATAATTATAGGCATTTTATTTTAAGATTTGAGAATAAACTGTATTTACTATGTGAACATATCCAGTAAGCAATTTGATAACAAATTGTTGCCAAATTGGCATCAAATTCGCTCAAAACTTGGTAACAAATCCAGTGCCATCTGTGTCCGCATTAAGCTTGTGTTTTGGTGACAAAGCTTGCTGACATAACCTGACAGCTAATTGACGGCAAAAACCGAGCAAAGCTTGACATGATTTGACGTCAAATTGGTAGCAAAAATCGAGCAAGATCTGCGCAAGACAATCTGACAGCAGATTGTCAGCAAAAACTGAACAAATTGTGCAGCTTTTGGCCATTCATATAAAATAGTATATTTAAATGGATTTAAAGTCTCAACCCTAAGTAACAAAATGATGATAAGTTTTGGTCATAAAATGACCATTAGATAATTAGACATCCTAAGTTAGATCTCATGAGACCCAAAATATATCACATCTACGGGAGACCATTTTTTGACGTTCTTTTGATGGCAAAAATAAGACAAGATAATTAAACATTATATAATACCATATATTAATGTGTTAAAACATATAGGTAAATTTAAATGATTTAATTTATAAAATTAAAGATTTTTTTAGACAGAAATTGTTCGAATAAGTAAAAATCGAACAATTATCTGTCCGATTTGCCAAAAATCAGTTCAATATCTGAATTTCCTGTATAAGAATTGTGTCAAAAATTGAACTGATAGAAATATATATATTATAATATTATTAGCGTTTTGCAGGCTTTATATACACTCATGACAAGAATTTGAATACGGGTATAGATAATGAATAACGCGCCGCATAGCGATAAGCGACTGAACTATTTTATAATACTTTGTAATAAGCTGCAGATTCTGTTCGGTTTTTGCTGTCAATTTGCCATCAGATTGCGCACTCCAGATCTTGCTCAGTTTTTGCTGACAATCTGATGTCAGTCATGTCAGCAAGCTTTGCTCGGTTTCTGCCGCCAATTTGCTGTCTAGTTATGTTAGCAAGCTTTGCTTGGTTCTTGCCGGCAATCTGCCAGCTTAATCGGTAATAACAACTCTTGTACCAAATTTGTAGCCTTTTTGCTGACAATAATTTGTAGCAAGCACTTGGCAATATCTGTTAGAACAGACGTGGCTGACTGGGTCATAATTCCAAATAGAAAAATATATATCAGATATGTAATATCAGATTTATATATCAAATGTTAAATATGTATACTATTTTTTACCAGTTGTTATTGTTTTTTTAACATATAAATTACCATGTCTATAAAAATCTGATATATTATAAT